TCGTACAGACAGACAAGAGGGCAAACAACCCTCCGGTAATATAATGCTGATTTAAGACATGGACAGTGAAGTGGAAAGTTAAAGTGTTGTGCAATGCCGAGAAAACGCGTCAATAGATCACCGCACGTTGACAAAAGATCGGACGATCAAGATGATGATGATTTCTTGTTCGATGATACGCAATCTAGTTCGGGTATTTTATTCATTTTTTGCAATTTTTTTTTCAACAAAATATATAATTTAATATTCCAAAAAAGACATGAAAAATCTCAACTCCCTTTTTTATTATTTTTGCATTTTTAAAGATGCGTCCTTATTTAATATGTTCGTATAATAATTAAGTTTTTTTAATACAGTAATTTTAAAAATCTAACTCTTAGTATGGACTTCATAACGAAACAATTAATTTAAAAATTAATAAGCCCCATTGACTAAACGCCTAACAATTACAGTCTTTACTACCGGCCAGTTACATGTCACAATGAAATGTCTGTCCATATATGCTCGTAACACTATTTAAAAAAAAGGTATTCTAAAAAGTCTCTATTTAATTACAAGTTGATTACACAAATACACAGGAAGGAGTTCACACGAGCCACAGCACAGGAACGCAGCGAACGCCCGGGAACGGGCTAGGATGAGAGTCCTCTCTAAAGCATTTTGCAGGTATGATAGATCTAGTATTTTCTATATTATTATTTTTTAGACGATAATTCGTTACTTAATGTGATGTGATTTTTAAGTAGTTCGGAGTCAATGACTCTTTGCTCTAGAAATATTATAATATCAAGGAAAGTAGATTCCATAATATAACTTTTACGCCCAAAACCAAGAGATCACAATTTAGTCGTACTTTTCCCACATATATGTAGATGTGTTTTGTCACTGTTCATTCGTCCGTCGTATGTATTATATAAATATTATTTGCTAATCTCGGGAGAAATAGTATCAGTGACATACATATGTAGATCCTCACTGGCGTTTAATGTAATAGTTAAGAGAGAAATAACACGGTTCGCTAATTGTGGGTTCCTGAGACCAAAATCTCTGTATACAACAAAAAAAATATCGTCATCCCTATCATCTTTGAAGAAAACATAGATAACAATATATTTTAAACAAGGATTTCGCTATCAGTAACTCTCGGTAAGTATTTATACTACAATCATTTATAAATCGGAGTGCCTTCTGACAGAAACATCTTACATCTGGTTTCATATCCGTCTATGCTTTGTTATTCTAGGTCCGTTTATGCGCACCGTGTCCGGTTATGACGCTTTCTGTGCTTGTTACAGAAGTAGAACTGTTTTATAAGTCATACCGGACTAGAGCTAATCATGTATTTACTAATTTTTGCCGACGACTTCGTCCGCGAGGTATAAAAAAGTTAATGAATAGCCTATGTGATTCGTTTCGAAGTTCTCCAGATAATTTCAAACAAACATCCATTAATCCATCTAAAGATTCGCATTTATAATATTAGTAAGATTGTATGATAAAAATAATATGAAAAACGAGCAAATTAGTCATTATATCTCAGTCTACAGCGACTGATCAACGTCCGAAACTTAGAAACGAATGTGTTGTTACATGTATTATGGAGAGAAGTTAGCAAAGTGGAAAGGAGAGGTCGCTCTGGGTATTATGAGACTGTCTCGGGTGAGGTATGAGGGGAGGTCCCCACCCAGTAAGATATAAAGAGGCCGTGCACGGGTTTCCGCGTGCAAAATACTAGTGTGTAGGCTCAAAGCCAGTCACTGACCGGTGTGTGCGAAGAATATTTACATGTGCCCACACCCGGGTAAACAGTGAGTCGAGGGAACCAGAGGGGGTTTAGTGGGTAGGCTTCCATGTCCCTTTCTCTTTAGGGCAACGGATGTGGAGAGAGCCCCACATAACCGGAGTGGCTTTCCCTGAGGCACCCGGTATGCGTAACGCATTCCCCCTCTTAAAAAAGGTATTATCAGACTTTATCCATACCAAAGCTGAACATGAGCCTTGCTAAATTTCTTTTAAAAATTCGATCCTACTTTTTCCAGAGACACACACAATCCACATAGATAGAGCCATAATCAAGCAATAGAATTGACTTACCGCCGGCGTATTAAATTTGGAATGCGACTTTTCTTCCATTTTATGTTGTCATGTAAGTAATTATCATTTATTGTTGTAGGTTAAAGACCACGTTACCGTGGGTGCCGGCGGATACAAAGCTATCTAAGTTGGACACACTACGCCTAGCTGCATCATACATAGCTCACCTTCGGGCGTTGCTCGCGCCACGCTCGGCGCACGCGCCGCCACATCCGCTCAGCTTGGTAAGTATATCTCATATTGGCTGATTAGGCAGGTTGGGGTAATTGGACCAAAGCGCTTGATCCGTTCAGATTTTCTCATTTAAAGTAGGGATAGCCTATAATATTTGAAGTGGCTGTTTCGACGGCGAGTCATGTTCACTTCAATCCGTAAACAACAATGCAATTTGGTCTTAAACCAATGATGACACAATTTTTTTAAAAACAATTTTAGATTTTAATTTTATAATTTTTTGGTATTATACATTTCTATTTGGTTACGACATGTTAACTTAAAAAAAATAGTAGTGCAAGAAAAAATAAGAGATCAATCGCAACGTTATTAACACAAACAGAAAAACATGAGACCGCTGACACATTGTAGGCGACGCCCACGGGCGCGGTTAAGATAATTGCTGACAAATTTATCACCTGTCACGTTTGTCATCCCCTTAATACTTTGGGTTAGGCACGAGCCCGCTCAGGACATTTGCCAAACGCCGCGGCTAAATGCTGTCGTCGACGGATTAGAAACTACGTTCCACGAAGGCCTGACTCTGTGATCTATGGCATAGGATTAGTAGCAATTTAAAACTGAACTTGCTATAGACAATTTTATTTCTTTTAAATGTATAACATTTGATATTCGAAACATACTTTTATCTGTATTTTAAAGCTCTAGTAAAATGAATTAAAGATTTAAGAAGCTATTAAGTAAAAGGAGTAGACAAATTGTATAGCCAAGATTATCGAGAAATGTTGTCTTTCTGATCCACACTGAAAATTTAAATAAAAGGGTCCCGTTCATAAGTCAATTAATGTATTTGATTCATCATTTAAAGTTATGTAAATTTAAAACAGATTTTGGTTACAAAACTTTTTGGTTATTTTTTATATTCATCGTCTTGTGTGTTCTATGACCGTTCGCAAAAAAAGCAATCCTTTTTTTTCTGAGTAATGCAAGAGCATACTTCGCCTAAGCATTTCTGGAGGATAATAAACAAACCAAAGTCATCATCAGTGCTAGAAACAAAAAGGTTACAACAATAAACAGCAACTGTTTTACGGTCGAAGCGCGCGTTGACCAAAAGTTTGCAGCTGTTGTATGTGTATAAATAAAATTTATCCCCGGACGTTAAAGAGATGCTCCGGTTTATTGTTTCCACGATTCCTTTGTTTTAATGTTAAATTGAGAACTCTGTGCGTAGGCTGTACTCTTGAGTTTAAACATTATCATTCCTATAAGATGTAATGACCGATTTACTTTTAAAATGTTATTTTAAGTTGTATTTAATTCTAATCTTTCTAACACTAACACATTCTTTATATTATTAAGGGCACATTAAATTATTAAGGACTATTTATTTATCGGACTGTTTAAATTACACGCATTGTTTAAATTGATTGATTAAAAAAATGCAGGTAATATAAAAAGGCGAAATGGTTAAGTGCACCATCATATAATTTCCTTCACAGAATGTTTCCAAAAAAAAAACAATATGGGTGGCCTTGTAACATACATTTTCTTGGCCATTTTGATTACAACAAAAGTCTGGGAGTGTTTTTAGCAAAATGAAAATATGAGATGAGATTGGAAAAATAAAGATGGCGTAGCGAAGTAATATTTATGTATATAAAAATAAATTTACAATTTAAAATTAAACTCAAAAAACACACGAAAAATATATTGGTCTACTTTTATGTTAATTTAAATTTGTTTCCATAGGCGTGGCCATTTGCATTTCAACATGGAGGCACTCTAAGTTGTGCGATATCGCAAAGATGGAATCTGAATACACAATCGAGCGATGGAGCCAGCGATAATCATCGGAATAATCTGCAAATCCAGGAAAATCTGAACAACGTTAATTGTAATGATACTTATAATCAAGAATACTCAGAGAATGACTACGATGAAAGAGGTTACGAAGAAAGAGGTTACGATGAAGTAAACGAACCTTCAGCGGTAATGCAATATTGTGATTATGGATATAAAGAAAGTTATTACGAAATGAGAAACTCTCATAATTGTGATGCTCTTATGAATAACGCGTGATTGATAACAGATTATATTTAGTTTTATGTTTTATCTAACACGGCCATTGTAATTCCAAAGGATATATTAATAAATATTTACTGACTTATTTGTATTTTTCTACCAAAATTAACGGTCTTAAGTTGCCTGTTTTATATCTAAGATAAAAAAGGAGGTAATAGGCCTAAATCTACCTCTTTTCTCTCGGTAACCGGTTTCTTGATATGTGGCTGTAAGAAAGTTGCATCTAATATGTTTGTGTAAAATTAGATGTAAAAGATTTTAAAGTTCGTGTCAGAGTGAGTACCGGTAATCGGATAGTTTAACAAAGTCGAGAACCGCTTTGACACTCCGCGGAATCTGACAAAACAAACACGAATTTGCCAACAAAAATACAACATGCTAAAAGTCAACGGAACACATTAACATGATTAATTTTATTTAGATTTCACGAATGTATAAAATAATTTTCAATAATGAGACAAAAATTTGCTTTTAAATACAACAAAAGTATAGAAATGTCGGCATTTCGAGACGTTTTAGACGTAATATTTTAGGATTTTCAGGGTGGGTTTCTGACCAAAATCTATGTGTATTATATATAGTGCCATCCTTGTCTTTCATCTTTGACAAAACAGAGATAGCAATTAGTTATAAAACGGGGATTTTGTTAATCATAGTGGGTCTTCTTTATGGAGGAATTTGGAGGATATAATTTAAGAGATTTAGAATAAAATACACAAGCAGCTGGTGAAAACTTTATTACGCATATATAAATATTAAATTGTTGGTATGTATTATGCCAGAGCACACTAGAAAGTCATTCATTCGATTATTTACAAAAAAAAAAATTATAATAAAACTTAAGCGAGGCAACGTTTTGGTAAAATTTGATTTAAATTAATTATACTTAAAGTTATTACTAAAGCAATGGTGATAATTGTGAATTATAACTTATTTATACCGACTTGCTAATATGGGTAGTGGCAGTAATATACTTAGTTGTAATTTAAAAAAACTTGTACAGTCCCTAGGAAACATAAATTGCTTTTTCTTGTGAATATTTCCTTATTATTATTGATCCTTAGTGAACTAATGTTACAAAATTATAGCTAAAATAGCATTTTGCTGTAGATTCGCTTCTAATGTTTTGGACAGTAGGCTATTCGCGTCTGTATTATAGAAATTATAATAAAAATCGTTTTAACCTAATACTACGCTTGACTTTTACTCACACATACAGACAGACGAATCAAATTCATTCCGCCAAATGACACATTTTCCTACGAGTGAGTAACATCGATGTGAAATCGATTTATGTAATAGATGAAAATCGATAAGAAAAAAAATGTTGTTTTTCTTTGTCTTAATAACATTGTTTGTCTATATTTAAATTTCGTTCTGATTTTTAATATTTATTGAAACGAGAAAAAAATACAGACGAATTGATAACCTTAGTTCTGTTAAGTGAAGTCAGCTAAAAATACGACTGGTTATACAGATCTAGCTTTTCAGGACATTTTGATATCTGTTTAAACACTAAAAGTGATCTGTTACAATATTTTGTAATATTTTTTACACACTTATTTATTTCGTACAGTCGTAAGAAAAAGTGTCATTGTTCAATCTTATACAAATTTCCAATGTCCTGTATTTTAATATCCAGTAGTATACATTATAGTAAAATATTATCTACCATATTTTTGGTAGTTTCCTAGCTTCTTATAATTTAACTTATATTTAAGCTTTACTACAATCATTCATTCATACGTGTCACACAAAATTATCTTAGATCAACAATAAAATAAGATCGAATAATTAACCACAACAAAAAAAACTACAGCAATTAAAAAAAAAAGAAAAAAGTTGACATGGCGAACTTAGTGTGACATCCCAATAGTAAGATTAAAGAAGACGATAAAGAAAAACAAAAAAGGTCAAATATAGTTAATGGTACTCTCTCGTAGTAATCTTTGCTGTGGTTTATTGCTGATCGATGTTTTGTGACTCAAGTATAAAGCATTTCTCTTTCGATCAAGAAAATAACGATTGATCTAAGATGTCCTCATTAATAATTAACTGAATATTGGTTACTATTTAATACATTGTTAAATATTATTATAATTTAGATATAACATAAAATTTATTGTGAATATTGACAATTGATTGATATTGAGAAATATCTGATATTTTTTGAATTTCCTAATTTCATTGAATTACTTGATTAAAAGAAACATACGTATAGTGCATTAAGAAGTTATAAAAAGAAAAAAAATCTTTTTAATTTTTTAGACCACTGAAATACACTGGCAGCTAATAGTTCATTAATTATTTCAATCTTGAATAATTTTATTTTAATGCGATATGAAAGTGATATACATATTGCTAAATCTAACAAAATTAATTACATAATAAATATTAAAAATTAAAGCTCATTATCTACTTGTATGAAATAGCATGATTTAATTATACAATACCAATAAAGTAATTAAACATGTGATTGTCTATTCTTCATACAAATTAACCATAATTTTGGCGCCATTACATGACCTAGGGATGTTCGTTGTTGCTAAATTTCAATGTTTTATCGATAGTTGAAATGACGCGTATCAAATTTTTTTATTAATAAAACGTAAATTAATAATAGCATATGTGCAAGATAAATTCTTAAAATAAAAAAAATCATAATGTTTTTTGTTTTCTTTTCTGGTCATTCATAATTGGTAATAGCATATACATAAACCGATGTATCATATTATTTTATTTATTGATATTTAGCAACAATCCCTGTATCTACTAAATAAATACCAAGTCAAATGTTAAATTCATACATACTTTGCAAATAATTATTTCTACATATACTTACGATAAACTAGCATCGTGTAAGAAAAACTACTTGTATAAATACAATACCGCAAATAACATTACAAAATATATTTGGCAGCTACGTTTAAAGTCCATTACATGGAAAATGATGAATTCAATTATTTTTACTACGATTTTTCTTTTCTTTTTTATCTGTTAAGTCAGATATTTCAAAATTTTGTCTATGATAAAGATACATAGAAATGTCATGTTATTGCGTCAAACTATTGAGTGTTATAAAGTAATGCTGAATCAGCGAATGTTTAAACAACTCATAGAAATCATACTATTATTCTCCTTGAAGTATATTATGAAGAATTAATCTAGACCGCACAGTCTAAACGCTTTATTTAGTAATCTTTACTAGCAAGATATTCCCATGCTATACTCAAAACACGTTGAATCTTTTCAATTTGTATTCCAACCATTCAAAATGGATTGATAAATATAGATTAGATTATGATAAAATTACAAACGCAATTTTCTAAATGCGACATTCATTCATTCTAACAAACTATAATGTGAACATTTTCAATACCTTATAATATTCACATTTACATAATGAGCTAAATTATTGCGTTAATTATTTACATTCTCTTATTTTAAGAAGCATACATTTATTACTTTCTCATCCACTCATTGACTAACTCAGCCTGTTTAACTTAAAGATAAAGCTACAATACCTTTAAAACGCTACTTGAATAAATATAGATTGGACTTGTCCTAGCGAGATATTTTAAAAAAGTTACGTTTTTTACGTAATACAAAAATTACAAAGTATCTACCAAATTGTAATAATATATAAAATGTATAACATCATAAGACAATTATATGTCTTTATCACTAAATTTATGTTGGTTATTATATTGTAAGACTCATTTAAAAAGGTTTTGTTATTTTTAGTTTGCGATAAGCAACTTAAAAAGCAGGGATGTACCAACTTAGTAAATGAAGGGAATCGAATATAGCGAAATTTAAATTTGGTTGCAAAAATATATTGAATTCGTTTTAAGACTTATATTGCACGATGTTAATAGAATTTTATCGATGTATCAAATGTTTTATCGATAAATAAAAAAATGTTGGACATCCCTATTTAACTGTTTTTGTATTATTTATTTATTATTGAACGCAATTAACGTTTTTTATCTACATTCAATTCTAATTATGAATTAATATGAGAATTCCCTGTAGAATGTCTTTTACTATAAATGAGAGAGCGTAAGTATTTTTTTTTATAAAAATGCCATAATTTCTACGATTACTGATAAATATTACGGGTACATATCGGTATTACAGCTATTTAAAAATGTATCATTTAATTTTACAAAACAATGGCCAAAACGTCGAGTGTCAAATACAAAATACTATTACAAAAAAAAAATAAGTTTCGTCTTGTGTTCTAATTTTAAAACATTTGTCAGCAAAAATATGGTTTATTTATGAATTTATTACCAGAATTTGAATAGTAAATAATTTTTTTAAACAAAATTTTATTAATTTACTGTGAGTATTTCGTTTTGTCCATTGTTTTGTAAATAATCAGATTATTATTTGTGCGTATTGATAGATTAGCAGAACCCAATAATAGATCCATCTTGAACTTTCGCTTATCAAAAGTTTTTTTTTTTTAAATTCATTTGCTTTTAATTTAACTAAGGATCACACTAGACACTGAAACACGCAGACTTTTGTAATGTCTAATATTATTATTAAATTATTTTTAATCTATTTCTATCTTCGGATCGATAGTTAGGATCGATTATTGGGTTCAGCTTTACAATTATTTAGTAATGTAGCAAAACTTCTCTTCATATAATACATCAAGATTATACGACAAACATTCATTTTAATTAAAAAATAATAATTTACTCACATAAATTATAGATTCAGTCCCTTTCATTATAACACTACATTTGTATAAGTTAAAGAAAATATTTTAAATAATTTAAATATTAAAGTATACTCCCTTTTGTAAAAACAAATAAAATATTTTACTTTTTTTTTCCTGTCTGGCGTAATAAAACAACAAAATTAAATTCAGGCAACATTATCGAATCGTTTCGAAAAAATCGATTTGAAAAAAAAAAGTTTATGTATAACATTTCATTTATGATAAAGAATAGGCATATTGTATTAAAAAGAAAAGGCGGGAATTTATTGGAAAATCAAACTTTTAACTGTAATATTAATCTATAATATAAAAATGAACCGCAAAATGTTTTGGTAAGCGCATAACTCAACAACGCTTGGACCAATATGGCCAATTCTTTTTTTTAAATGGTCCTTGAAGTTCAAAGATAGTTTTTACGGCGAGAACAATTCGAATAATTGCCGGGAAACCCTCTAGGAACCTTAATTTATTCCCGGGCGGAAGGAGTCGCGGGCGACAGCTAGTGGATTATAAAAATATCATGAAAATGGGATGTCAGAGTACTTTTTGAATTGGAAAAGATTCGATTATGTTGTGAGGTGATACATTACAAAAGGAACAACCATTCCGGAGCTGAGCTACCGCGGTGCCTCAGAACTACCTGCCAGAGAATATGCTGATGGAATTCGATGACGTTCTTTTACGAACGAGGGTAGCTTCGACTGAAAAATAGAAATTTTAATTTTTAATTAACGTACTATTTTTGTGTTATTTTAAATATAAATATAAGCATAAACAAAAAAATATTTATACAAATTTATTATCATGAATCATCAAAAAATGAAAAATAGAAATGATTTTTTAATTAACATTCTAATTTTAAGCAAAGCAATTTTGCAAAAGATTTTAAGAAATTAATAATATTTGATTATAATTAAAAAAAATGTTTTAATAAAAAAATGATTCCAATTTGTTTTGTTTTAGATGACTACAGACTCTATAACAATTTATTACACAAACAGTATACTCGTTATATTTGCTTCTACATTGTAAGGTTTGTACTCTTTAAGCGTGAACATGTGTACAGTATGTCAAATAAGTGAAACACAACTTACTAGTAGAGTCCTGAGGTGTAAGGGGTCGCTTGATGGTCTGCTGTATGACAGCGAGCCAGCAGGCGCGGTCCTCGTGTGTGGTGGCGGCCAGCGAGTAAGTGCGCTCGGGCGTCACCACATGGAAAGGGAAACGAGCCTCTTTGCAACCGTTACCCGTGTTCGATACTTTGATACAGTACCCATTGGATTCGTGACCTGAAAATCAACAAATATGTTTAAGGATGATTGATGATTCAAGATCCCTGAACTGATTTATTTCTGGAAAGAAGCAAGCTAGCGCGTACCATCTTTCGACCAAATCTCCACTAACACCAGGTAGGATCGTGGTCAAGCGCTGGCTTATCAAACAAAAAAACAACTAATAACTTGGAAAAGAAATGCGATATTCTTAAGTTACACAAAAATTCCTAGGTCTTCAAAAGTGGGGTTCCGTTGCGTTACTTGGAGATCCCGGAAACTCTCATTGCACTTGAGTTTGACCACCGAGAAGGTTGTAAGGGGTCAAATCACACTAAAAGCTGTCTTCCTCCTGAAGGTTATCTTTTAAAGGTTTCTCAAGACACAAAAAAGTACTTTAAAAGTAGACACTGAATAATTGACAAAAATTACGAAATTTTCCGTTTTATGCAACATTTTTAAAGTCAAGTCCGCAATTTAAGGTTGGTAATAGAATTATTTTGTTACAATACTCTTTAGAATAAAAGACTCGAACAGACCATAGATAATACCATACGATATAATAGACATACCAATAAATATCTCTCCTTTAGGGTAAGCATCGAGCGGTTCATCGTGGTACATCAGTTTTCTGTTGTCCAAAGTGAACCATCGTCGGCGGTGCGCGTCAGACGACCGAGGCCCAGTCTTCCACAGCCAGCCTTCCCGGGCAAAGTCCTTTGGTAGCCGCAGAACCAGATCGGATTGGGGCGTTGATGGAAACGCAACTTGAAGCAGATGAAGTTTAGCGCAACGGATCGCCATGTACCTGGGAACGTTATGTCAGTCGTATGAAAAAACCCTTTATTAATATTTAGGTATTAAACTTTAGTTATTATGTTTGCTTGTAAAGATAAAACCCATAACAAACATTCAGGTAAAATTACAAAATAACTAAATATTATAATTATAACCTCAAATAAGTTAAACTTAGATATAATATACGTATTTAAACAGCTAATGATTCATTTTATTTTAAATTTATGAAAAATGAAAACAGGAAAAAATATACGCAGACTCTAATTTGGTTTGTTCAGAATTTGTTACTTCGGTCAGCTTTTATGTGAAAATGTGTAAATATCTTGCGATTCTGTTTGAAGTTTTCACTCCCGAATGGTCCTCTTTACATTGTAAGACTTACCAATAGTTAATAACTTCAGGGTCCTCATGATACACGTAGATATGCCTCGTTGAGCCATCTTTCATGAAGGTTAGCTGCATGGAGTTCATATGTCCGATCTTTGCTGGCGCGAAAGCGACATTTAACTCGGACAATCTGAGTACGCCCTTAGGTTCTTTGTTTTCTTTAACATGGTACCTGAGAGGAAACATCCGATTGAATAAAGTGTACAAACATACTTAGAATTTTTATTTGAACATTTGCTTCGATGATGTCACATGAGGATAATGATCAATGAACGTTGTTAGAATTTAAAAAGCGGCAATGTAATGATGCGTCAGCATTTGCCAAATATATTTGCGAACAACAAAACATGTTTACAATACGCGACAAAACAAGATATAAGACGATAAGAATATTACCTATACAGTTTTGTAGGGTCGAGCCGGAATAATTGTATATTTGAACGATTTGGACAAAGGTTTCATAACCGTAATTTGAATTTCGCTCTTACCTCCAACGAGCAAAGTTTTTGAGATGGAGCCGATCGAAAAAGCGACCGATACAACCCGTGGCTCGGCCACAGTCCTCACAAGGATGATGATACCTAAGGACCAGGCCGATTACATTTAAGCCAAACTAACGAGAACTTAATTTTAACTTTTCAATGAAATTTTGACAAAACAAAATCGGATAAAATACGATTGCAATTAATTTTTACAAGCGAAAACTCAAGATTAATTGATTTTCCTGTCTGTTTGAGTTATACCGCAGATAACAAATAAGCAACGGAGTATTTTATTATTTTTTGAATTTATTGTATTGATATAATATTTAAATATTTAGTATGGAGATAATCTTTTTAATACTTTGTTTACGTTCGGTTTACAGTTCTACAATCGCGTTGATTGATGCAATTCAATAATGCATTAAACCTATTTAAGGCACTACAGTGTTCACATTTAGCCGTTCTGGAGATACCTTCGAACAAACATCCATCTAAACTTTTGCATTTATTTATAATAGTAAGATTGAATCCTGTAAAATGTAATTCATAAATGTTCCTTTTCGACATTAGTAAGTGACGAAATGATTTGATTCTTGATGTTTGTTAAGTGCGTTGTTACATTTTACTTCATCAGACATCGTGACATAGTAACCGTGTTACTTTGAATTACTGTTGATTTAATAAAACGTCACAGTTATAATTTTTTGGTACTACGTCAGTATTTCACAAGAAATTGTTAACGCCCTATTGGGTTTGTTTGTAGAAAATATTAAGGTAATGTATGATAACGGTGTGTAATAGTTTTCTTTTTTCAAATTAGAGTTTTAAATGAATATACACAAACACGAAAAACTCGATTTGTTACCCTTATGAGTCACTTCGGAGAGGAAAATGTTTTTAACACCTCACTATTCGTAACCTTTTAAATCAGTTTAGAACGTGGAAATGGTAAGGGAAAAACGCACGTTTATATCCGTCTACCAAAAATATAAAAAAATAAAACAATTGACAAAATAATTTCGTTCCAATTTATGTAAGTAAAGATTTTTTTCCTTTACTATTTATAAACTTATCTTTGCGTCAAACGATTTGTTAGTTTTAAAATGACGTCGCAAGTCAATATTTGTATGAGCTTGACGTAGTAATTCATTTCAATACGAAGGTGTGGAAGTTTTCGTCGAGTATACGTCACCCGCCAAACAGACGTTCATTTTCGCGCCAAAATGTCAATCAATTTTTTAATTTTTTTTATGGCTTTTATACTTTGACAGGAGTTTAATTCACAGATTATAAATAGCTTGATACTTTTTTAAAGAGTAGAGAAATTATTTATTTTTTTAAATTATATTTCTTGTAACAAATACAACACAAGCGTGTTATGGACGAGGTAAACATTATGCTTCTGTAATATTTAATGAGGCAGGTGTATGGATTATCCAACATTATAAAAACATAATTACAGGCAAATGTGTAATTAAAATTAATGATGATAGAATAACATGCGAATTTTGTCTCGACATGAATACGAAATAATGTGTAGCGTTACATTTAATTACCGGAAATAATTAGCACTTTGTTTTTTTTTTATCCTAATGTAGAAATTGGTTTAAGTTAGATAGGATTTTGAATTTATTACAATAAACAGTTAACAGCATAATGTTAGCTCATAATTACAAATATTACTTTGAAATATAAACAAAAAGCGAAGCTCTATTTGGTAATAATATGTTGTAAAGGCGTTGAAACATTTTTGAAATTATGCACTGATGTAAATGATGAATGAAAATGTCTCCATATTTTTCTCCCTTTACAAGAATAGATAGCAAAAAAAAAAATGTCATCCTAAAGAATTTACACTTTACGAACAATTAGTATGTGGCCTTTCTGCTCTTATGGTCATTAAGGGAATCACAAGTAAGGAGTAGAAAGCCTTGATATAAAAGCAATGAATTCCAAATTTAAACTAAAAATCCTAAACCTCTAACTGTTTTAATTAATTAAATAAAAAATGTATAAATTAAAATTAAGACAGTGCGATATTACACATTTTTTTTAAATGACCAATGCTTGCAATGACCGTGCTTGACAACCATACCACATGCAGTTGTGTTATCAAAAGATGGTAGGCGCTAGCTATTTTAAAGTTACTTACTTCAAAGTATCCTCGTTTTCATTTAAAACAAACTTCCTTCGCTGGTAACGGCTGTCCTCTTTGCCTCGCTTCATCAAGAATCCCTCCATGTAGCCTGATAGATAGTTCTGCCGTTCCGGATGACAGAACTCTTCTCGCTCGTATTTAGCACGTATCCATTGTTCAATTAATACTCTGTAATTGTTAAGTTTTATCCATACATGAAAATATGTTTGAAATTAGCGTAATACCATACTACCTGTCGACCGCGACACCGTCTGCTAAATTAAAAAAAAACTGATCTGCCAAACTATGCTCTACATTTGTGTCAAATTATAACGAGATGCATAGAGTCGTTCAGGATATAACTCGTAACAAACACATCCATCCGTCTAAGCGTTCGCATTTATATTAGTAAGGTAAAACAAAAAGAAACCTTTGATTTGCAAAGCGCATAGACGTACTCTGACTCAAATTAAATATTACATTATTCAATTTATTTGAGCGATGTGATAAAGCATGTTTACATAGCAAATTACTTAGAAGAATGTGTAATGTAACAAATTACATAATATGTTCGTTATAAAATGCTAATGTATCTCTTTAGTGTTTACATATAGATTATAATATATCGTAATATGGTAGTATGCATCAAATTCACAAACATTTTCATCATTATAAAATCATTTGTATGTATGAGAGCAGAAACATTGAGTCTTTCATCATCATCAGCTCACTATACCCCACCGAGGGGCTCGGAGCCTACCCTAAGTCCAGGGTGATTAGGCCATAGTCAAACACGCTGGCCAAGTGCGGGTTGGTTGACTTCACACATATCTTTGAATTTCTTCTCAGATACGTGCAGGTTGCATCACGATATTTTTCCTTCACCATAAGAACGTAGGATAAATGTACAGATATATATCGGAAATCGAAAAACACACTGGTATATGGCGGGATTCGAACCCAGGACTTGCAGATTGCAAGTCAAGTGCTTGACCACTGAGCCACCGACGCTCCATTGATTCTTTAAATTATACTAATTCCATGACTATCCTAAAACATGTAATTGAGTAAAGCTCACTACAGACGTTCGATGCTACTGGCGAAAATATGGAGCGGGCTTAATTGACCTTTGCATACGAGTAAATCGATTTATTTATTGAATTTTAATCGTTTATCTTTTCTAAATATAATTCGATGTCGGTGATTTAACGGCTATTCACTTACGAGTTTGAAAAACACATAAAATATATTGAAACATCAAAGCCATTAAATTTACGACAAAAAAAAACAATTGAAAGGTCTGAAAGCAAGCCTCGATTTATTTATTAATTTGAGACATGAAGACAAATGATTATGTTATTTATATTCTTGGATTATTTATATTTTCATTTTCCAGTTTAAATTGGCTTTAACAAAAACTCTATTTGTTGAATAGATAACACAAAATGTTTTGCTTCCTCTTTCTTTCTAACCTCTTTCTCACATAATTCATAAAACATTCCGAAACGAATAATACAGTGGTGTTTTTTAACACTTCAAAGGAATAACTCTCTCTTGTGAATCATGAATGAAACATTCAGAAAGTAAAAAGAATTAAGAATGAAAAAAAGTAGTCCAACTAGGTGTGAAACTATTTAAAAGAATCGACCATAGACAAACCGGTTCTAATATATTTCGATTCATGTTACGCTTGTTAGATATACGTTTAACAATTCCCAAGCTATAATGATTTATTTTATAATTGTAAATATTTGTGTTCAATTAATTTTCAAAAAAATATATGATTGCCTAAAATAATTTTGTCAACTGTCAGTCCAACTTAAAACGGAAATTAAATTATTGATCATAAGAAATCTTACTAATATTATAAATGCGAATGTTTGGATGGATGGATGTTTGTTTGTTTGAAGGTATCTCCAGAACAGCTGAACGGATCTCGATGAAATTTGGCATAGATGTAGAGCATAGTCTGGAAGAACACATAGGCTACTAATTAGGTTTTTGTTTAATTTCTCATCGACGGAGTAGCGGGCGACAGCTAGTTTCAAGATAATTACTCTAATTCGTATTTCGATTTTGTTGGAATTTGGTGACAAATTATTTCTTCAAAATAAGCAAGCATAAAACATGCTTATTATTTTAAGATATATTTACTTACTGTGGGTCGTTCTTCGTAGGTCGTCGATAACAGGGTGGGACTCTCTCTTCGTATTTGTTCTTTGCGGCAGTGTTTCCTACTTCCTTCATACGCTGCACCTGTGAATCTTCCCAGCGGTCCAGTTCAAGATGCTTTACCTTGCTGATGTGGGCCCCCATACTGCGGTGAATACTGGCACATCGCATGCAGATGAAAATGCCCAAGTTGTACGACGCCCAGTCCGGGTCTGGAAAGAGAAAAAAATCTTACTGCATTTAGAATTGCTATGTAGTCCACTGTGACAACATTAAGAAACTGAAAGAGACTATAACTATAGATATTAAAATTGTTAGTTAATAATCTCAGTAGCGTCTAACCTATGCTGAAAGTGTGAACCTAACCTAACCTAACCAGTTATGATTTGAGCACAGATTGGGAACTTAGAAAGCACGAATAAAGTTAATTTTGATTGATTTTATCTAAACAACAGCAACGACAAAAGCAACTATGCTTACGACTTCGTCAGCGCAGAATTAAAAAGTAGGCTTAGTTAATTCTGCATATATTAACGACCTTAGAGTAAAGGTCCCGTCAAAATTCATGGAGCCGTTCCTGAGATTACAAACTCGAATTTGTAGACCGACAGACACAAGGACAGACAAAATTTAAATAAAAAATTGAATTTCGTAATGTTATAAGCAACGCAAATACATTATGTACACGAAATACGATTTTTTTTCTATATAACTTTAATTTTATTGATTATATAGATAGGTAGATCCATATAATTGGGTGTCAATATCCAAAAAGTGAATTTTGCAATAACTGATCGCATTTGCTTGATGCTTAAATAAATAAATAAAAACTATAATAAAGATATGAAAAAATATAATTAAGTTTAATAATTCATTTGTAAATATTAAATTACCTACTAATGTTAATCATTTAACCACAAAATTTACAAAATTCAAAATAAACAACATTAGAATCAGAGTTGCAAGCGCTTATTAATATGTGAGTTATTTATGTATACTAAAGTGGTCAATAAATCCGCAATGATTAGCAGTATGTCATTACAGTTGAATAATTAAAGTAAAGATGACTTCATTAGCCCAATCAGGATGATAAGAGAAATTTAATTTCATGTTTTTTTTTTTTAATTTGTAATTTAATGAAGGTTGTGCCGTGCAGTATTACCTAAGCGAAGACAACCAAGAGGTTTTGCATTGTAATTTTTGTGTTAATTTTAATTAGATTTGTTGTTTTTAAATGTGTTAAGTATTTGAGAGTCGTAAAGTAATTGTCGATAACAAGTAGTTTGTTTGTGAGCGCGTAGGGTCTATCTACGCTTATCTAGGTGCGATAACGGCGCCGCATTTTGTCAACAGAGCAGGAAATTTTGATGACGTCATTCCGCAAACATGACGCGTCTAAAATAATAATATAGGAAGAAACATCACTCAAATAGACTAATATTGATATGGGTGTGGACTCTGCGTATAACAAAAATATGAATGAAATATACACGCCCAACTTGGAGCAAGAAACGATAAAAACCGCTCCATGCGATGGTCCGAATCAAAATAGAATAAGACGTAACAGCTCTTAGCTCCCGCGAAGTTTCTATAAGGAAACCTAACGATGTTAAAAAAATAATTCGGCTACAAGAAGTTTATTACGATATTTAATGCAATAAAAATGTTCGTTTAGGAGATTTTGGAAAAAAACATCAATTAAATTTTACTAATATTATAAATGCGAAAGTATAGATGTTTGTTAGAACATATCTACAAAACGGTTCAACGGACCTCGATGAAATTTGGCACTGATGTAGAGCAAGGCTACTTAATAAATTTTATTTAATTGTCGCGGGCAAAAGCTAGTCTTTATATAATTTTGTTGTTAGTCAATTGCAGAGTAAATCCACTTTAAAAAAATGTTTAATGTACGAGGTATCACAGTCTTGGATAATAATGTATCAGGTTTTTAATTGGAAACGGAAACCATTTGAATACTTTAGTTTTTAATTGCGTAAAAAATCTTTTAACATTTCGTCGAATTCACACAATCGTCTTGTGAAAGGTAAAGCAAAGCGTACACAAACAATCTACCTCGTGACGCAAGTAGAACATATCTTATCAAAACAACCTATACTTTATTTCTCATGATACCTATATTCAGAATAACAAATATAGCGAAAGCAAGATAAATTAAATAAGTTTAAACAGTTTTCGCAAAGCATCTGAACCAAATGATCTATAGGTTGTCTATTATTTTAGAAGAAAAAAAACTACACTGTCAAAAGTCGATTGAAGATCATTTAATATACCTGAACAAAATATAGGCGCTTGCATCACTTCGTTTCATGTTTACAAGCATTCGCATGTGTAGGTTCACACCGACACGACGTCACGAGACACACACATGCACAGTGCGGCCTCTCGACGTTCGTAAATAACACACGCGGTATGTTTTGGTCATAATAGTTGCGGGTGGATCTTCGCGTATGTTCCTAAACAGGTTTTGATGAGAAATGTTTCAACCAAATCAATTTAAGCAACAAATCTTGGATAGAAACGATCGCTAAACGAGCCGAGAGCTATTCTCACTTTTGTTGGCTGCTTCGGTGACCTGCCTTCATATATTGAACATCATATTTATTGAACCACTTGACTGTCGTGGCGGATGGTTATTGTTGTGCATTAACGATGCAAACTGGCCGGGTTCCGGTCAGCTGATATTCTAACCTCACAAATACCAGAGGAAGCTGAGTGCCGAGATTACGTCTCTTAACAAAGGCCTCTTACCTAATACAGTTTACAAGTCAAGTCGGTATCGGCTTGAAATTATTGACAAAAGGATTTCGTGAAAATGTGGATTAATGTGCAGCTAAATCATGTTAAACATCATGGCAGAAATTATAATAAAATCTTATAAATATAAATTTAAGACATTACAAGATAAGACACATATATGACGATATCTACACCAAATTAGTTAAAAAATATTTTAATAGTATGGAATTTTATTGAAAGTTTGAGAAGCGCTTCGCATTGCTGAGGTTTCACATCATAAATAAATGAATAATACAATTACTAATCGTCTATTTATATATAATAAATTAAATTATAAACCTTTATACGATAAAAGTCGCATTCACCCTTTTAAAACTATTTTAAGCGAATTTGAGTACATCCTAACAGAAGAACTCAAGCATACCTTAAATAAGGGTTGACGTGGTTGACTTCACCCACCTATTCGAATGTCCTAAACCCCTCTGTTCCTCATACGCATCATCGCGAGGCCACGGACACGCTTGCCCTTTCGTCCGCCACCTCGCCTGCGTCAGCTGCCGAAGCAGCTCCCACTAAGGGGGAGGGCCTACCTTCAGCCTGGATCCCCCCGTATCCAGCGCCCTAGGGCTGTTGCGGGGGGGCGAGGGTGGCGATTCGAATGCCCTCGCATATCCAGGTTGCATCACAATATTTTGCGAATGAATATGTGATTGTTAATTCAGATTGCTTACGAATATTATGCGGATTTTTAATTCCTTTTTCTTGACAGAATTTTAGTGCAATTTGCATAAAAGTATGTTCTATCAATTTTTGTCGTAATATTCAGCGGACATTATGTTATCAGTCATTATACTTCTGCAAACGACCTTCATTGTACGTCAATGACTAACTTTACCTAATAAGATAAGATGCTTTTTTAATTTAACAGAAATACCTAATTACTTGATAAATTAACAGTTATTTTTTTTAAAGAAATGCAGATGACAGATATAAGTCTATTTTGAATAAGTAATGAATATAGATGAACGTATAACATTAAATTAATTCATGAATGATTTTTATCAGAACACTAGATGACGCCTGCGACTTTGTCCTCGCGGAATTAAAAATTAAATAGTTGCCGATTCTCAGAACTACTCAATATGCATATAAAATTTCTTAAAAATAGGTGATGCCGTTTCGAAGGAGTATGGTAAAATTGGGAACACGAAAATTAATACTTTTATATTATTACCTTTGTAGTATGGAAAACATTTCATCCCTCTTATTTTCTTTGAAAAAACAAAGATAACGATATTTTTGTAGAGGTATATCGGGACTGGAAACTCGTGATAATATGTAATTAACATAAAAAGCAGTTATTATCAATGTATGGTAAATTGACGACATTCAATGATATCAGGGCCGATGTGTTTAAGGTCATTGAACTTGTATGCACGATTATCGTAATAAAATAAACATAGAATTAACTCCATAGCAAATATCACAACATAGTAGAAATTACATGATAAGTATTCTCGATAAATATGTGTTTAAAACATCGGCGTAACACAATTATTGGATGAGAACAGAATATTATTGTAATAAAACTCTATAATTTAAAATATACTATGGAATTTTTTTAACGTAAAATGTGCGATTTTATACAACTTAAAACAAGCGATAAATCTTTTAAATGCAAGACCGATCAGATACACAACAATTAGGCGATACTTATGTACAAAAATAATCTATTAAAAGTTACCAAGTTCAGTAGAATCTGGATAAGTGAGAGTCATCGTGCCGGTTCCGAATGACTCCTTAAGCGAAAAACTCTGGTTAGCAAAAAATACATAAGCTAGAAAAATATCGCGGACCTTTGGATCTTTGGACCAGATTCGACTGTATTTATTTTGCAATTTATTTGACAAATATGTAGGTTAAATTTTGTAATTATAATTTTGAAACCTTTCATTCATTGGATTTTATAATTGGCGATTAAAAAATAACATGTGAAAATGTAATTAACGTCAGTCATTTCGGATAATCAGAAGGTACAGCGTCAGGTATAAAAAAATAAATTCGTATTACGGAAGCAACAGAGCGAACAATCAATCCCGTTAATCACAACATAGTGTAAACGTTGAAATAGCAATTAAATGAAAATGATATAATAATATACGTAACGAATATCAGAATAAATAATAGACTTAAGGTTTTTTCTTACCAGGTCATCGTCCGAACAGAGCTGAACACGGTAACTTTTCGTTAGAAAGACATAAATCGGTATTTTTCCGGGAAAGCATCTTTTTATAACGATGTAAAAAGAAGTTAGTTACAAATGGACATGATCTGTTTAAAAGTGTAAAATATATTTTTTTACTTAATAACGATGCTCGTGGCTTTGCATGCACATATTAAAAGAATTTTGGCATTTTCCTCGCGGATGGACAGCTAGTCACATAAATGTGCGATGCGAGTACGCATAGGAAGAGATGGATAGATTGCATGAAAGGTGCCAAGAGGACGAAAACTGATGCACTGGCCCTACGTGAGTAACAGTAATAATAGATATTATTTCTTAAAAAGTAGTAATTCACTATCTTTCACTGTCCTCACACTCATATATAAATATAATATAATCAACCTTCGTTTAAAAAAAAAAAAAAAAAAACAAACAATTTTTAATACCAGTGTTACGATTTTTACCGCAATTGTCAATTATACTACCCGTAAAAAAAGGATAAGTCTCAAAGGAAATTGAAAACAGCCTGTGAACTGATGGTCCATAGATATGGTAACGCATCGGTTAGTCATAGTTCGTTAGTGTACCATAGTTTTTACATGATTGACGGACAAAGAAATCTATTTTCCATTTACATTTTCGGGGTCAAAATATATTTTTCAACAAACAAAATGCTGTACAGAGTATGATAAACATTTAACAGTTTGATGATAAATTTCAAAATGAGAAATAAGCTTACAATATGGCAACACGACGAAATCCAATAGCTCACATCAAACCACCGAAACCACAAATGTAACTCACAATTGACTTATTTAGTTAAAACAAGCTATGTTAATAATTAATTTCACATACATGGTAGGGAAGGAATACTAAAAATGACTAACGATGGGTTTCTGAGGTCAAAAATTTTACCCGTTTTAAACATATTGTTATCTCTGTTTTGTTAAATGTAATGAAAGGGATGACGATATGTTTTATACAGAGGTTTTTATTTCAGAAACCAACGGTAAACAGGACATGCAAGGTAAAGCATTAACTAAAAGAAGAATTACGTCACTACTAAATTCTAACTAGAAAATAATTTTAAAACAACATTACGCCTGAATCTTACCGATCAGAGACTAAATAAGAGCACTATAGATTTATCTATAAACCAAATAAAGAACAAGATAAATCACATGTTTCTGTTTTAAGTCGTAAAGAAAGAAATTCAGAAAGAAAATCGTAATCTTTGTCTATCCGACTGGGTTAAAGCGTTAATTGTGTTATTATTTTTTACAAATAATTAATAGAATTATGTGAAATTATTTAGTGCAGCGTTATTTATGATAATATTTACTTAACATAAGAACATAAACAACTAAATGATTATTAAACAAGCTAATTAATATCAAAATAAATAAATTAATTAATACAATGAAATCATAACATTTGACCAAATTGGCCATAATATTTACCTACAAATAAATCTCCATCAGTATTGTAAAATTAATTACAAATTAAAGTAATTACTGTGCAAACATCGAAAATATTTATTATACAAATTTTAAAATTCAGGCCACTAAAAACCTTATGAAAAAAAGGCAGTAGTTATGGAATTAAAAAAAATACAAGAAATTTTGAAATACACTTTAATTTATTAAACTCAATGAACACTAAGCACGCAATGGTAATTTTTAAAGTGTTAAACAAAAAAGACTAAAGATTTTTTCTTTTCATAAAAAAGTAGTAAACGTAATATTCCACACTACGACCATAACTTCCATGACGCTAGGATAAAAAAAAATCCTAGTTTAATTAAAACTCTAAAACTGGAATAACTAAAAGCGTGAATAAATAATACGGTATTCGCGCTCTTTTTTATAAACACTATTTATTTTCTTAAATGCATTAGTATCGTGTCATCTTAAGAAGTATTATAAGAAAATAATAGGGTTATAGTTTAGAAGTAGATAAATGTATAATAGTAGAGTAGACGCCTGGAGTGCTAAAGGACGCAAGCAAAGGAACTTGTGGTATGACTCATCTGTTGTACAGACATTGATTGTTCCGTTACCATTTAGACATCATATTATCTAGATATATCTAGATCACATCTTACTCTAATGAACGCATGTCGATATATAGACACCTGTATAGATATATCAGAGTAGTCTTAGTAATCAATAACAATTATCTTTATAACAAAAAAAACTACAGTAAAACATTTTTAAGTTCAACGTGTCGACGTTAGGTCTATTTCTAAATGAAAAAATAAAAAAAATTACATTGATATTTCAATATAAACATCGAAGCATGCTTTCCGCCAAAGAAAATCAATCCTCAATTAGCTGCTACCTATTTAGGCTCTGTAAACAGAGACCTTAATCATTTTATTTATAAGATAACTACGACTCTACATGACGAAATTGAATTTCAATGTTATTACGCTCTATGTTGATTATTTGTTTTGATTGAATGCATTTTACGTCGAGGTCACTGAACTCCGGAGCATGGACGCACTTACGCCCCCCGCCTGTTCACTACCCCATAGAAATACCACGTTTTACGAGTTAAGATTAATCACAAGTTAAAAACACTGTAACATACCTTCGCTTCCACAATCGGCACACACATTATTTCCACTTTTCTTTAGCAACTCCTGTAACAATTTCTCGTTATGATCTACCATCGTGGAACTTTTGCATCAATAATGAAGACACACGCTACTCGCGTACGTCGCCGCCCGAAAGTCGAACGCACGCTTCGAACGCGACGAGCGATCTCTACTGCGTGCGGGCGAGGGAGCGAGCGAGACTTCGACTTCGACCCGACGCGACGCCCGAAGCACTCTCGGTTCAACGAGCCGACGTCTCGACGAGCGCCGACATACGTGAAAACTTCGCTATTTCACCCACTCGTACACGAAAACGGTTAGGATGAATGAGATAGAAAGAGAGGTCTAGTTTCGGTACATGAATGAAATCTGTGAGTAGTAAAATATACGATATAGGTATTTGTGCAGAATGTATAGTGGTGCCTCGTAAAACTTTTATTTGTGTGCGCATGGCGTAGTACGTGCAGCGACGTAATACAAACGCCTGCCGCCCGCCGGTCGTCGCGTCGGTCGTCGCCGTCTCGCGTAAATACTATGTAGACTTATGTATGAAGTCTCAAGAATACATACCTATCTACCAATACATATCTGATACTGTCTGAACATTCTGATAAAGACAACACAAACTTTATTGTGCGTTAATGTATTTCTAAATATATCTACGATTTTTTTTATAAATGTTGTAAAACAATATTAACATAGGATCCAAAAAGTACACATTATATCTACGGCGCGACGACTACTTCTAAATTAGAAAAAAATTCGAAGTTTTACTTAACTTTAGAGGAAGAGATATTCATTATTTTAGACTGATTTTATTAACAGTATTTTAAAAATACGAACTACTTTGTATGTACATTATAATCCGTTTATTATAACTCCGCTTATATTTAACAACCGCTTATTATGCAGTAATAACACAGCGAAGTTTTTAGTATAACGTGTTTGTTACTCCCCTTCGATGTCAATATAAACGGATTCCACAGTAATATGATAGTAACATTTGTTTTATTTAACTACTTTGACCTAGACAAATATTATGCAGTCAGTTATAATCAAATTGCAGCTCTTTTTATACGTGATGATATCTTACAAGACTTCCTGAATTTTCTAGTGCAATGTAGTTTGTACTTCTGGAAAATTGTAATTCATTATGCCCACATTCTTGATGTGATTTAATGGCAATAGGATACTATGACGACTACGGATAAAAAGGTATATAACCTTTTTATTCGTTCTTACTTTCAAGTGGAGACTATTTTGTACCTTAAATTTAATCTGCACTTAAAATATAAGATTTAAAATATCAACCTACTCTACTCCACTACTCTTTGAAAATCTTTATCTGTCACTGTCATTGTAAGAAGTTGTCACAGTTGTCAATTATAAAACAAGCAGCAGCAATATAATCCTATGTAAATTGCAAAGCTATTTCAGAATACTTGAATTTAAACTATATTATTACAATAAAAATAAACTTTGAGTGTACAAATAAGAATCAGTTAAAGTAAATAAGTAAAAATGGGGCGTCGGTCAATAAATACCACTAAAAGTGGTAAATATATGAATCCTACTGATCAAGCACGTAAGTATTGGATACAAAATTTAACTTCGATTTAAATAATACCTATTATATTTATATACTAACTAACTATCTTGAAATTTATGAATGTAGGAAAAGAAGCCAGAAAGAAAGAGTTAAAGAAAAATAAGAAGCAAAGACAATTGGTTAGGGCTGCCGTGCTTAAAATGAAAGATCCAACACAAATTCTTGAAGAGTTGCAGAAAATTGATGAAATGGGTAACTTTATATTCTTTATTACATTTTATTCATGGTCCAACACTCAAGATGCAAGATCTATCCTGCAGTGTTTTTAATTTCCCAATCCATGAACATAATAAAATATAATTTCTTAACTTCTAGTCATGGTTATGTATGTTGCTATTTGCTAGTTAGATTCTTCAATTCTCCATTATATTATAAATGCAATAGTTATTTTGTAAATAAGAACTTTTAGACATTATTAATTAGAATCCTTTGGCATTAATGGTGCGCTTTAATTACAAAGTCAAGTGTCAGTGAGGGGACATAAACTTCGACATTTTAGTAAGGCTAGTGTTGCGCGAGTACACCGGCGCAGTGTTGGATTTTCTTCTTAGAACAAAGTATGAAACATTTGGAACTGCTATGGAAATACTAAAACTGCAATGAACATTTAAAAGTTACGGGTTTGTCTGTTTCTAGTAATGGGGCTTTATGAATAATGATTATTTATTATTATTTTAAAGAGTACAATGTGCTGCAGCCTTCACCACTAAATGAAAAAGTTTTAAAAGAGAAAAGAAAAAAATTAAAAGAAACATTTGATAGAGTTCTCAAGATGTATGTAAGTAACGAAACTTTTTATCTCATTCATATGCAGTTAAACCTGGATAAGGGAGAAATCTCTTAAAGCCAGAGTGAAAATTGTCTCTGCTTTAATTATTAGAGAAATATTGAATTAAATTTGAAATTATCAATAAGCATACTAAATCCAATCTGTTATAATAACAAAATTCTTATCCTCAGAAGTTTTTAAACATTCAGTAAACATTTGTTTTGTGAAGCTAGAACTCAATAAATTTGTGTTTATTTCAGGACAAAGATGATCCGGAAAAATGGGTTGAACTTAAAAGACAGGAGATGGAGTACGAAAAGAGACGTGCGCATTTAATATCATATTATGAATCTGTGAAACACGCTCAGTCTGTGCAAGTGGATGATATTCCGTTGCCTACACTACAGGTAATCAAATTAAGCTATTACAACCCACTATGGGGCTCGGAGCATACCCTAAGGTATGGGTAACTAGGCTATAGTCAACTATGCCAGTGTGGGTCATCTTCACACATATCTTTGAGTTTCTTTGCGGATATGTCTAGGTTGCATCATTTTTTTTCACCTTAAGAAGTGTGATAAATGTACATATGTGAATCAAATCAAAAAACACATTGGTACCAACATAATTCATAAAAATTATTTTTGAATTTTAGTTTTTATTTAAGTTTGTTTATGGTTATGGGCTTAGATTGGAACTTGATACAGTCAAACCTGGATAAGTGAGAGACTAAGGAACTGCAATATTAATCTTGCTTATATAGGTTTCTCTGTACCCCTAGTTTTTCGCTTATAGAGGTTGTCTGAATTCCTCTATTCCATTCAATCTTATTTATATTTTGCCTCTAACTAAAAGTTGTCTTCTATAGGTTCCTGATAATTTAATATATGGTAATGTACCATCGCAAATCCCTTTGCCAATGGATGCTGTTCACACAACACTGCCAAAGCCTATTTTGAAGAAGGATTCTGTTTACAGAGTAAGTTTTGTTGTTTATTTATTCAATACTAGTTGTTGCCAGCGATTTCGTCTGCGCGGAATTTAAAAAAAAATTATTGCCTAAGTGTTCTCTCTGACTATGTTCTACATGTATGCCAAATTTTATCAACATCCCTTCTGTCATTCTGGAGATATATTCAAACACAGGACAAACTGCCAGTTGGCTTCATTTGAGAATTAAATGTTTATAGGTATAACATCTTTGCTTTTAGTATAAAATGTTTTTAGGAAAGGCCAGTAGGCATTGAACCACCAGGAGTGCCCCCAGGTCCCCCGCCTAACTACTCAATCTTAATATTCGAAGCAACAAGACATGAATCGCACAGGGAAAGGAAGAGTTTACGCTTCTCTGATTTCCCCGATGAAGGACCACCTGGAGAGACTGTAAGTTTCGAATATTTGCTTTTAATGGATTAAAAATATTAGTTATTTTGTTGTATTTCGGTATTTTAAAGTGTTTTTTTTTTTAATAATTGAAACTTGAATCAGTCATTGTCATGGAGTTGGTTTTGTATTAAGCATAGCCCAGCACCTGAAAACTTATAATACTTATTATGGAGTTCTGATCGAAAATCTCGGTATAAAATATGTACAGCAGAAATAACAATACGCTTTAAATGGGAATTTTGGTCTTTGAAACCCACAATTAATTGCATATTTTTACACATCATTTTGTTGTCCAAATTTTTGTTTACTAACTAATTCGTAGTCGTACAACTATTATTTTGTACAATTGCTGCTGCATTATTTGCAGGCGCCTACAAATATGAAATCTTACTTTTTTTTACATACTTGAAAATGGATTTAATTTTTTTCTTTAGCTCACGGGTATCACTTTAGATGCTAAAATGGCTATGCATAGCAAACATGCGCACGAGGACTTTGATGGCGAGGCGTTAGACGACGATCACCGTTCGTCTCCGCCCGCGTCTGCGCACGCGCACAAACCCACCTCATTGCAGCAAAGGATGCTGGCACTCTCCGGACAGAATATAGATGACTTCATGAAAGAGATGGAGGAAGTCCATAAGAAGAGAGAAAGGGATAGAGCTGCAGATTTGAATGCGAGGTATTTTACTGTAGACAATAGTACAAATAGTATTTACTAATTTAATTATGTAAAATTTTAAAGCTATCACGCCGCTGTAAAGTAGGTAGGCAGTGATTAAATTTGGAAATGAGTATATTTCAGACTAAAAAGTAGTCTATAACATGCCTGTGTGCATCCGTTACTTGTCAAAGTCCATATTATCTGGTACACACGCGGCCTTACAGTCAGACAGAATTAAAAAAAAAAGATTTTTATCAGTCACTCAAATACATGATGTGTACGTTTTTTGTTCTGTATGACATACAGACATACCAATGTTATGTATATGTATAGATTGAACGCGTTGAAGCGCACCGGCGGGGGCAGGGACAGTGACTCTGACAGTGACACTGACAACCACCACCACATGATGCATCACACCGACTTCGCGCTGGAGCCGCCCGGAGCTGAGATACGACAGATACCGCCGCCACTCTTACCACCTGGTAATATGTTAAATCATCTTATATATGTTAATTCAAATGTACATTATTCATCTATTTTTTATTTATGTGTTTTACTAGCTGTCGCCCGCGACCCTCCGCGCGGTATTAAAAACAAACTTAATAAGTAGGCTAGTTCTTCCAGACTATGTTCTACATCTATGCCAAATTTCAGCAAGATGCGTGGATCCGTTCTGGACATCCACCTAAACATTCGCATTTATAATATTAGTAAGATTTTTCTTTTCTTGTGTTTTGAAGTTAACATAGCACGCGGAATTAAGTTGTTCTCTTAGCGTTTAAGTATAGGAAACCTACAGTCTGTGTGAAGCAGTTAGCTTGTTTTTAAGATTGTAATACATTAATAGTTAGTAAGACCAGCCGTTCCTGAAATAGCCTGGAGCAAAAGCGAACTTTCTGACAGACAACAATAAAAAAAATGAAATGTTGTTCACGATACGACAATTTTATGAACTGTACAGATTTTGTGTTTTCGTAATAGGTTTACGACCGCCGATCCGAATGACGAGTGCCCCGCCGGGGTTGCCTCCAGGCGCGACGGTACTGGGTCTGGCGGGGGCACCGCCGGGCCCCCCACCTGGTCTGCCCCCGCGCGGGGCGCTGCGCCCCCCCGGCCCTCCGCCTGGCGCTCCGCCCCGCCTCCTGCGCCCGCTGGTGCCGCCCCCGCCCCAAGTCTCCGTGCTCACTGCAGCCCCACAACTCATACAGAAGAAAGATGCACCACAAGGTACATAGTTTTTTTTATCAAAACTATGATTATACTATTTTTTTTAGCTGAAACTGACTTTTTACCTCTGATATTGAATACTGAATAAAAAAGTTAGTAATCTTCAAATCAGCACTTTTCCTAGAAGACTTATAACGTAATTTTTTCCATTTTTTTTTATTTTTCAATGTTTTCGTTTTTCCTTTTTTTTTTAATTTTCACTTTTCTGTTTTTTTTTCATAATTACGTGTGAAAAGTAAAATTTTTATTTCGAAGTACTAAATGAATTAGAGTATGTTTTGTATTTTATTAGCTGTTCGACAGTGGAAACTCACGGTTAAATAAATTATCTTTCATAACAAACAATTTAGGTGCGACAATAAGCGCGAAGCCTCAGATCCGCAATCTATCAGCGGACGTGACTCGTTTCGTGCCCTCCGCGTTGCGAGTCAAACGTGAAGACAAGAAGAGTCGCCCTAACGCCAAAACGGGGGCCCTCCAGCGCCAGCTCGACGTGCCCAAGGCCCCCAGCAAGGATGACGCCTATATGCAGTTCATGAAGGAAATGGAGGGCCTTTTATAGTACTTTATTATGTTTTAATAAATTTTCGAATAAGTCGATATGTATTTTATTATATTTCCCATTTTATTAAACTGTGTGGTTTCACTCACCGGACGATTTATAAAGTACTAGCTGTCTCCCGTGACTTCGTCCGCGCAGCTTTAATAAAAAAAATAATTAGTAGCCTATGAGTTCTTATAGGTTATGTTCTACGTCTATGATAAATTCCAGCTAGATTCATGCAGTCGTTCTACAGATACCTTCTAACAAACATCCAAACATTCGCATTTTTAATATTAATAAAATTTATAAATCAGGTTATATATTTCGAAAGAATCCAAGTACGTTGTTTTTGTTACATCACATATGAAGTAAATAAAATGATTTGCAGTGTAAATTATTAACAATTTCTTGAGTAATTGACCATTAATTAAATAAAAATGTTTCTTCGTTTCATCGTTCACTGGTTTGCTTACATTAGACTTATATTGCGTGAGGTTAGTCGTTTGAATTACCTCATTAACCGTTGGTTTCTAAGACCAAAATCTTACTATCTTCTTACAAATATTACGTATGCGAATGTTTGGATGGATATTTGCTTAAAGTATCTCCAGAACAGCTGCAAAGATTTCTCTAAAATTTGGCATGGATATAGAACATAGCCTGGAAGAACACATAGGCTACTAATTTAATATTTTTCTTCCTGCACGCACAGAGTTGTGGGTGACAGCTAGTATCTGTATAAAACATATCGATATCCCTGTCATTGCCTTTGATAGAAGAGAGATACAAATATATTGTAAACGGGGATTTACGTCTCGGAAACCCCACTGAAGGAAGCTGTAATAGATGAAATAACGTCTCCTACAAATATTGTCAGTGCTTTAAAATTCATTTTTTAAACATTGACTTAAAAGAATTGTTGTTATATTAATGTAACACTTTCTTATATTAGTATACACTCCACACAGAATACATGGATGAAGTGTAGTAGTCCTCTTTCCCTTCCCACTTATAAGAAAAGGATGGGAAGTGGACTTACCGGATGAGAGGATGCATGGAAAGGGAAAATATTTTCTTTCTGTGCATCCTCTCCTCCGTCGATTAAAAGTAGGCAACGCATATGCAATTGCGTATGTCTATGGGCAACGGTCACTTCGCTATTTCAGCGATTTCAGGTGGCCGCTCGCTCGTTTGCCAGCTTGTGATCAAACCATCGAATGTGCAATCGAATTCACAATGAAAAGAGTAAGATGTGAAGTCGTTATATTTACTATTTTTCTAGAATTTTATCTTTGGCGTCTACTATAATTGTTTTGTGCCTATGACACTCTAGGTAAGAAGACGAGTCGAATGACACATCAAAATCGGTTCAATCCTTTAGGCTCTAGGTCGTCGCAATGTAATTTACATAATTAAATCCCCATACAAAAAAAAAAACCAAACTTACATATGCTCGGAAAACATTACCCTTTTTGATCACTTGGGTAATAAAAAGATGAATTATTGAAAACACTTTTATTTTTAAATTACCCGTAAACATTGGTTCAATAACTTTTGCGTCCTTAGTGTATCCTACCAAAGTTTAAATGATAAATGGCTGTGTTCCCACACATAGAGGTTAAACAGTGCAAACGTAATTTATTTTTTTACCCCTCAACGTTTTTTGGCAGCATTTGCTCACTGGCTTTCCACTGCGGAAACATTTATATCACACAATCATCATTATTATCATCATCATCATCACCTTTGTCTGTCCACAGTTGGACAAAAGCCTTCTACAGTATTCTGTCTGCGTATTTCGACATAATAAGGTTGGAGTTATAGATGTTTCACTAATCAAATGGAAATTAGCAAAATGACGTAATAACTAAAACTTCCTTTACCGTTAAAAATGTAATTTGCATAAAAACGCAAAACAAAAAAAATTTTCCTTCCGTGATCTTTACAGTCAGGTGTATCCAGTTGTTTTTCTAGTTATCTGGTTATTTTATAGAATATATTAATGTATTTAAAGTTTTGGATGTATGGATGGATGATAGAAGGTATCTGCAGAACAGCACAACGGATCTTGATGAAAGGCGTAGATGTAGAACATAGTTTGGAAAAACACCGATGCTAATTTACAAATTCCGCGCGGACGGAGTCGAGGGCGACAGCTAGTTGGGTATTATTAAAATAAGTATATATTAAATTTTTGATATTGTGTCCGAAAGTTATATCTTTTAACCGCCGTCATATTATATGTATAATAGAAACATAATAAAAAATCGCACGCGAGTCGCGACATTACATTTTTTTAGTTCATTAAAAGTTTTCATTTTTTTAACTTACATTGTTTTATTCAAATTAGGTAATAAATATAATTATAATCACCGATACGGTACTCGGACTTAAATTTTTATTAGTTACGCATTTAGCAGCTTACATGTTATTTGTAAAATAATTTGCCGGACGCAGTAGCCATAGCAAGCGTTCGAAGGGTTAATTCGTTTAAAATGTATTAGGAAACTTTGTCATATATTATGTAAATTATTCGAATAAAGTTAGTGTTGAGTAAACAAAGCGAAATCTTGAATATCCACAATGTTCACCGTACGACTACAAAACATATCGGTCTTTGACTGCCGTTTGCCTTTGTTCCGGGTAAACTCCGAAACGGCTGGAGCGATCTTCACGGGACTTTTAATCTAAGGTTATGTATGCTGGAGTAAAATGAGCTACGAAGAAAAATAGGGATGACGTAGTGGGCAACAGCTATCATACTAATATTGTAAATGCGAATGTTTAGATGGATGGATGTTTGTTTGAAGGTATCTCCAGAACGTCTGAACGGATCTCGATGAAATTTAGCACACAAATATAACATAGTATTGAAGAACGCATAGGCTACTAATTATGTTTTTTTCTTAAGTTTTATAAGTAAATAAAATCATCATAATTTCTAATCGAACTGTAATAGCGCCAAATCCGTGTACTGAATGGACAGAATTTTTTGAACCCGGTTCGGTCTGTTCAACAAAAGCAATGCGACGACAGTTGTGTTTTTACGCTGTTTTAAATACCTTATTTAAATGTGCCAATAACTTCATAATGACCAATGTTTCTCTACTTTTGTCGACGACAAGTGCCATTACCGGAAGCATGGAGAAAAACCTTCCCAATAAGGTTAAGATACCAAAAACTCTTTTATTTCCATATAATTAGTATATTTACGTAAAGTCACTTTGAGGCAATGTTTTTAAAAGAAGTAAAAACAACATGGATAGTAGCGTTGATAATCTTTTGTCTAAGAAAATAATAGATGTTGGTATATTTGTCCCTCATTTTAAACCGCCTAAGTCACAAAATAGATTTAAATAAAACCTCGGTAAATAAAGAGAAAAAATATTTGGTAGCTTGATCCGACATCCTTAGAGATTTGGGCTGCGATAAGAGATAATTAAAATAAAATGCTTCATTTTTAATGTAACTTTTTGCTTGCACTGTGTTTTCCAATGCACGTGGAATTCAGCTATTTAGTTTTTGAAAAGATATCCTTTTGCAACACTCGTATCACGAGTTTAAGGAATTCAAGCCAAAGTCCTTTAACGAGTATCGATTAACATCCTAAAAGTTAAAAGATCAAGGACAATCAGACCAATGAATCACGAACAAGTTCCAACAAACAATTCTTTGTATGCCTTTTTATATTAAACTTAATACAACTAAATTATATTATCTTGGTATTTAAATATGTTCTATTTATGTCATGTGATGTTTTAGTTAATTAAAAATCTGACAACACGATTTATTTTTTGTTTCGACAAAATTATTTTACACTTTGTCATTTCCTTCTAAACGTTTATCAAAACGCGTACAATGATTTAAGAATTCTTTTTTATTTATATAGTATAATATAGATGCGCATTAATGGTAAGAATTCAGAAAGTATGTGATGTGTACTCCCCTTTATAGCGGAATGCATTTTCCGTGGCAATTACAGTCAAATTTAAAGTGCAGTTTCGCTAATTGACTTTTTTATTCGCTACCTTACGCGTGAAGTTCAACATTGAAGCCCTGAATTGGTAATTAGGGTTGTCAACTTGTGATACACGTGGATACGGAGATTGACTACTCGTTCAACCTTGATCCTAAGAGAAGGACAAAGAGTGCGTCTCCTGCATCGATTAAAGGGCAACGGTCTCATCGCAATTTCGGCAAATTGAGGTAGACCGCTTGTTCGTTTGCCACCTTATAATATAAAAAAAATTTGTTTTTTACTACCCGCTCTGACCTGAAAACATCGATTCGACATTCATGGTTCACGACTAGAGCTTGATGGTAGCCCTGGTGGCCTCGTAAAGAGTAATGAGTGAGTAATGCGACAATTGACTGTTTGGGGTCGAAATGAAATGTCGCTCCGTGTTTGTAAATCTTTTAAATTACTTCCTGTATTAATCGATCGGAAAAGAAACAAAAATACTCATAGCAATCGCTCAATCGTCATAACACATTTCTATACAAATATTAAAGCTGCCTTTGTGTAATTATAAACGATATTTTTAAATAAATTTTACGAATACAAAACAAGTTTTCTTATATCAGTTTTTAAAAATAAACATATTTTTAAACGGTAATTAGATTAACTCGTAAAATATAATTCAAAAATTGTTTACGCCAAAAGGAGCAAAGTTTTGGTCTTAAAATTATACATTACAAAACAAAGGAAATATAAAATTTATTTATAGAGAAAATGAATCATATTCAATTCAGGCTTTAGGAGGTTTAAACTATATAATATAACAATGGAAGAAACATACATATAAACCTACCTTTAGACATTATTAGTTAGAATCCTTTGGCGCGAATGGCGCGCTTTCATTACAAAGTTCAGTGTCAGATTGATTAGTGAGGGGACATAAACGTTGACATTTTAATAAGGCTAGTGTTGCGCCAGTACATCGGCACAGTATCGGATTTTCTTCCTAACACTACATACATAAAAATGTATTGCACGGGTATGAAACATAATAAACTCATCTAAAGTAATCTCAAATAAGCCCGCGAAAAAGACT